CACGTCTTTTGTATCTGTTGTAATGTTTCCCTATAATTTTCTCATTTTGATAGTTTGGGATTTCTTTCTTTTCTTTTTTAAGGAATGAATTCAGGATCTCAGAGACAGGTCACTGTTCAAAGTGTTTTTCATGGGAATGAAGTGCATGAGACAGTATACCAGAGCCCCTGTAAAAGGTGGATAGAATAGTGGCCTGTCTGTAATTCCAGTCTTCAAAGGCAGAGAGAGGACCCCAGAGCAATCCACCTAGTGAGACTAGGCTTATCAGCGGGCACTCGGTTTGACTGAAAGACTCTGCCACAATGAATAAGTCAGATGAGTGATGAGGATGATTTCTGACATCAATCACAGGTCTTCACGTGCATGAACACACAGGTACACATGCACCCTTACACACATGTGCACCACATTAATTCACAGAAAACTGAAGAAAGAAAAAAATGAACAAATACTTTCATTGAATCTTTAATGTTTTTGTTTACAATGTTATTGAATTTGTACCCAGTTTTAATAATTTTTTACATATTTATTGATTTTGATGTGACTTATTCTTGTTTATCCAAGACTGTGCAGTGTATTGGAAAGTTATTCATTTGCAATCCCTCGGAATATTTTATTTATTTATTTAATAATATTTTATTTATTAATTTAATTTTATGTGTATGAGCGCATTGTATGCATATATAGTGTGCCCATGTCATGCAATACCCATAGAGCTCAGAAGGAGGTGTCAGATCCCCTGGAACTGGCGTTATGGACAGTTAATATTTTATTTATTAATTTAATTTTATGTGTATGAGCGCATTGTATGCATATATAGTGTGCCCATGTCATGCAATACCCATAGAGCTCAGAAGGAGGTGTCAGATCCCCTGGAACTGGAGTTATGGACAGTTGTTAGCCACCATGTAGGTTCTGGGACTTGAACTTGGGTCCTTTGCAAGAGAAGTCAGTGCTCTTAACAGCTGAGCCATCTCTCCAGCCCCATCTTTTATTTTTTTGAGATGGGGTTTCACTGTTTAGTCCAGACTGGCCTGGAATTCACTATGTAGATCAGGTTGGACTCCAAACTCCAGATCCTTCTGCCGCAGCCTCCCAAGTGGTGCTGGGATTATTGGCATGAGCCCATATATATATTTTCTTTTTGCCTACTTTCCCCTAATATCTTTTCCTTTATATTTATTATTCTTTCTTCAGTTATGGCCTGCACAATGTTTTCCCAAACCTTGGGGAATTTTTTTTTTTTTAAATCTCACTGATAAAAGACTCCCATATTTCCCCCAAATATTCACCTGCTGTGCCAAGCCCTTTGCAAACCCAGAGCCATGTGGGGTAGATGGGGTTTCTACAGTTCTGTCTTAAGTGAGTTCCTGCGGCACCTTGTCCACAGCCCTGACAGCTGTTGGGGAGGTGTCTCCTTCCCCCAGAAGGTGGGCATGTTCTCAAGTGAATTCAGATCTATGTTCTTGCTCTGGGGAGGTAGACCCTTGGGCAGAGGTCCAGCTCTGCAGTGCAATTAGATGCATTGTTCATATTTGCAACTTTTCTCTTTGCCACGGTGTTTTCTACCTGGAGCTTAGGTTTGACTCCCATGGACATCTTGTGTGCCTTTCTTTCCCTACCTGCCTCTGTACGAGCAAGAGTAATCACAGGATCATAGTGTTGGTCTTAGGGTAGAGTTCAGTGAGAAATCTTTTTATCTAATTTTCTCATTTCACAGATGAGGAAATGGAGGCCTAAGAAAGGTGAGAGATTTAATCAGGCTTACTGTGTGGATACTGATACTACTGCCTGTAGAAGTAAGTCAAGAATTCCCAAAAAGCCCCACAGAAGGGGATTTAGGTTACTGTGAGGCTGTACAAGAGAGGGCTGAATTGAGTCTCATGAGTATCAACCAGGTTCTAGGAGAACTCAGTGTATCTGTCCTACATGTGAATGACATTTTCACTTGCTTAATATCTTACCAAGGGAAGGATGGACTCTCTGGGGCCAGGGAATGTAGCTTAGTGGTAGAGTACTTGCTTAGCATGGGCAAAGTCATGAGTTCAATCCCCAGAAAAACACACACATACACACGCACACAAACACGGAATGGAGGATCTTTGGGGAGGTAGGACTCCCCAGTTCTGAGTATGCTAAGAAGGAGGCTAGAGGTTAGATTCCCACATGGTGACATTGTGGTATGGTTTGCAGATGACTGGAGATGAAGAGAGAGGGATCCTTGAAATCCCATCACACTTGCAAATTCTTAAAACCACTCTAAACTTGGACTGAATTCTGGGTCCAAAAATCTTTCTTCATATTATTTGTTTTTAACTGGGATAAGCTGCCTTTGCCCTGACCACTAGAGTTATTCACAAACACTAGGCTTTCCTGTGCCTCATCAGCCATCTAACACCAACAGAAGTCTGCCATGCTGGGAAATATCTGCAGGCAGGCAAGCCCAGTCTTTCTGGAGCCCCGTGGTTTGGTTTTACATGCTTTACACTCAGGATGTTCTCCCAAACTTCCTCCTTCAGGCAGTGTTAATTATTTCCAAGCCATCTACAGAAATGAACATAGTGTTCATCAATCGATTTATTAAGCACCTACCATAAAACGGTTCCAAATTAGGTGGTATTAAGATGGTCCAAGCATGGATTCAAATTTTTTTAAGCTCTCAGTGCACACACTGCCATAGACAATTTAGTGCTTCACCTGGTCATTCCTTCACTCTCCCAAATGCAGAATGTCATTACAGCCCCAGAAAGGACTTGGTTGTATTTGGGAAGTCTCCATCCTTCCTAGTTCCCTTCTTCCCAGAGAGTTGCTCTAGGGAATTGTGCTAGTCATATTTCCTTTGATGAAGATGGGAGCTAAATCAACTTAAATGGAAAATAATACAATTACTCTAAGCCAACAATCGCCAGCGTGTGACCGTGAGTCCCTGCAGGAGGTTGGACTTCCATCCTAAGCCCTCATTTGCTTTTCTCACTTTCCTTCTTTTCCAAGGCTACCATGGAATTTTCGAGAGGCTTGCTGTCCTGTGGTCTTGCAACAGATTGAATGCAGAAGCACCAGAAATGAGGACCCAGCTGTCTTCCATCAAACTAGAAATAAAATAGATTTACAAAATGTGGAACAATGCCATAGTTCTCACTAAATTCTTTTAAAAAGTAGTTATTTTTTTATAAATTATATGTGTTAATTTATAATGGCGTCATTGCTTTTGAAATGGATTTATAAATATAAAAGTTTCCCAGTATTCATTTCCAGTGTACTATTGGTCAATAGATATAACCCACCTGAATAAAATCTGGAATCAATAATAATAAGTAAATAATAATAAAACCTGGAACCAATCAAAAATAAGTTTTAGGGGTATGTGTGTGTGTGTGCGTGTGTAAGTGTGTGTGTGTGTGTGTGTGTGTGTGTGTGTGTGTGACTGGGAATTGAATTTAGGGCCTTGTGTACATTACCACTGAGCTGTATCCTTAGCTATCTTTTTTCTTTTTTGTTTTGAGACAGGGTCTCTCTAAATTATACTGGCTAGCTTTGAATGCACTGTTTAACCCAGGCTGACTTTGAATTTGTAATTGTTTTATCTCAGCCTTCAGAGTAGTTGGGATTATAGGCCCATACTACCAGGCATAGCTAATGTTTAGAATTTAAAAAGAGAAGTTTAAAAACCACAGTCTAATCTGGTGACAGCTGTTGTCCATGTAAGTGACTCAAATTAATTCAGTCAGATTAGATTATGGAAGACGTTACATTCCCTCTCTAGGGAAGAAGTTTCTCTGCTCTCTCCCATTGGGTGTGAAAGCTTTTAGTCAGTACTGCCAGTGGTGGCCTCTTGCAGCCACGAGCGTCAACATGGACATAGTAGATAGAAGAGTGTTATGGTTTAAATATGAACTATCCCTTGTAGACTCAAGCATTTGAACATTTATCTCCAGCACTGTTTTGGGAAGTTATGAAAACTCTTGGCCATGGGGCCTTGCTGGCCTAGAGGCCCCAGTTCTGGCCCAAGTTCTGTTTCCTGGTCTACTGAGAATGTGATGAACTCCAGCTATGCCCTCCCAGTACCACGAACTCTGCCACACCTCCTCCACAGTGATGGACTGGACCCTCTCAAGCAATGAGCCCAAATAAATTCTTCCTCCCTTAAGTTGTTTCTGCCAAGTTGTTTCCGTCACAGTGATGTTTCTGTTGGTTATTTCTGTCACAGTGATGAGAAAAGTCATTAACACCTGGAAAGTGAGAAGTTGGCATGGCTGCATTGGTCCTAAATTTTGGAGAACATTTTACTGTTGTGTACGGTCTATAAACCACCACATTAGATGAGCCCCAGAGGCTTCTCCAAGGTCAAGGAACTACTAAGAAGGAAGAAAGGGGCTGGAAAGGAGAGAAGGCAGCAGGTGTGCACCACGGAAGCCTCGCCATGTCCAGATGTAGAATGTATCATGCAGACCGAGAGAGACAGAAATGTGGGTGCCATGGAGCTGCAGGCCTGGTAGGTTCTTTGACTGCTGGGCTCTGTCAGTGACATTCTCCCTCCTTCCATGTTCTCCAGTCTCCATTCTTCTACTTCTCCAGCTCTCTCCTTTGCAAACCAAACTGTCCATATGTATTTGGATGGGTGGACTCACAGAAGGTTTGTTCCGTTGCTTGACAAGTAGAAGACTCAGTTTCACAGTCTTGGGACTGAGGAGCTGCCACAACCAGTAATCATATTGTCAGCTTGAGAAGAAAGGGGAAATCATCTGGCAGGGTCTCCAGTGGCCCCTTGGGAAATGTTCCTAATACCTTTTTCTTCAGATGGCAATTGTGTTTGTTTCTGGTTTGCTGCTCTCTTCAGGACTTTCAGAGGATTTTGTAGATGAATTTGGGTGAGATGAGGGATATATAAACATGGCAGAGAATTATCTTGTTGCTTTTTGAAACTAGTCTTTCTATTGAAATAGTGTCCCTTCTGGGTTCCAAGTAAATTTGGTGTCAAAGGACTGTCACCAAGGTCTTTGTCAACAGGACCCATAGTGCCCACGGAAGGTACTTCCTGGGAGAGCTGGGATAACTGTCCACTTTTATAGGTGCCTCTTGGCCTTTGAGTCTCAATAGGCTAAAAACTTTTGCTTGGTTTTACATTCTTCCTGGTGGTAGTCAGGGCCAAGAGGAAGTAGGAGTGGAATTGGGGACCTTAAAGAACAAGTTGTACTTAGAAAGAGACCAAAGCTGGAGAGAAATGCCTTGAATTTTAGTTTTTAAAGCAAAAATCACCCAGAAGACACAAAACATACTAGACTTGACATAAGCCCTGGGGAGAATTTATATCCAAGTTAGGATCATCAGAAAGAATTTAATCTTGGGCTGGAGAGATGGATCAGGAGTTAAGAGCAATAACTGCTCTTTAAGAGGACATGGTTCAGTTCCCAGCACCACATGGCAGATAACAACCATCCATAACTCCAGTTCCAGGGGAATCTAATGCCCGTTTCTGATCTCTGTGGGCATTGCATGACATGGGTGCATTTTACACACACACACAGGCAATATACTCATACACATAAAATAAAGAATAAATTAAAAATAATTTAATCTTCCTAGTTCTAGAATGAAACTAAGGCTGTATTCAACCATATTTGAAACTAAAAGTCAGCAAACGAGATGACCTGTTGTATTTAGGTATTTGCATCTATTTTCATTTAACGTTGTATTCTATGTGTGTCTTTTATATCAAAAATGTCATGAGTAATTATTCCTATCACAGTTTAAAAATTTCATAAGGAATGGAAAAAGCATTTTCTAATCTTCATTATTTACCCTTGGCTTTCAGGGATCCTTGCAGCCAAAGAGTGTCTGCTGGTGAATTAGAAGAAACCACAGGGTAATTGCTTTTTGAGCTTCCAGAGTACAACATGAGTTACTTTCCATTGTAAAAATGCTGAGAAGTTGCCCCGAAATTAAACCAATTAGGATAATAAGGGGAGCAGGAGAAGATTAAATTTATTTCCATCCGATTTAACTTATTAATTTCTCAGGGGAGAGGAAATTCCCTACTGTTGATCTCCATGTTTTAACCCATGAGCCCCTCATGTCCCGAAGATGTGTTTGGGATTTGATCCATTTCTGCCTACCTGCTGGGTTTTTGGTTGACTGAAAAGGCTCTGCTTTCTGGAAGGAAGTTTGAAGAATAACAGTCATTGAATAACTTAGTCAACACATTTGTTTTAAGCATTTACTAGAGCCAGGCGTGATGGTACACACCTGTAATCCAGCACTTGGAAAGCCAACTCAGAAAGATTGTCAGTTCAAGACCAGCCTGGTCAGCCTGGACTACATAAAAAAATCTGTCTAAAAAACAAAGCAAAGAAATACAAAGAATTATAGAAAGGTCTGAGTATAGGTGCACAACCGTAATCACAGCGCTTGGGGGGCTGAAGCAAAACGATCGTAAGTTTGAGACTGGCTTGAGCTACTTAGCAAGTCATGACTCAAAAATACAGAAGAGAAAAGAACAAAGCCTCTCCTATTTTGTAGGCACGTTCTACTTTGGCAGAGCACCTGGCCTCTGAAAGCTGATAGTCTAGTGAGACAAAACAGTTCCCGAACACACAAACAAACCAATCAATAAGATAATCAATGAGTGCTGCAGAAATGATGGAACAGAGAAAAGAGATAGAAATTAGTTCCCAGGGCTGAGAAGGTGGCTCCATTAGTAGAGTGCTTGTCTAGCATGCCTGAAGCTCTGGGCTCAATCCTCAGCACCACGTAAGCTGGGCAGGGTGGCACACACCTGCAATTCGAGCACCATGGTGGTAGATCCGGAGCTAGGCTATGTGAGACTCTGTCTCAAAAAATAAAAAAGAAATTTACTTCCCAGCAGTTAGGACAGCAAGGGCAAACACTCTGGGTCAAGAATACACTGAATGTGTCTAAACGAAGTCCCGTGTCACGGAGGGAAGGAGGAAGGAGTGCTGTGCCCATCTCCTTTTCCTTTCTGACTTCTTCGTGACCTACGCAAGCAACATTTTCAACATTTTTCTTCTGCCTGATGACAGGGAAAGCTCACTATAAGGAAAACTGCCAAAGAGGGATTGGTTGGATTCTCATGCCTGACCCTGCTGTTGGTTCTTATGAAACTAATGGCCCTTTCCCAGCCCCATAGGGAATATGGTTTTCCAGCAGGCTCAGGGCTTGGCCTGACCATAATGACCTTGAAGAGCCACTTAGCTCTTCTTCAGCCAGTGGGAGACTGTGTCTAGGGTAGACACTGATACGAGCTATATCATGTCATGGGTCAACTGGGAGGGCTGAAGAAAAAGATTCTAGGATGAGCATCTAGGAATGAATCTTCAAATCACCTCGCAGCCCTGGGCCCCATGAGCTGCTGCCTTTGCTCACTTAATCTGGAGCTGTAGCCACAGAGGACTTGGGGTCTACCTGCCTTGGCTTCTCCTCCTCCAGTTCAGTAGACATCCCATATTGTCCCCCCTCCCCACTCCTAACTCCATTGCAAATCAGGGTCTTGAATGTTGATTCAGGTTGTTAGGTCCCTTGTTCCTCTCAAAATCTTTGCTGAGTGGGTATCTGAACAATGGAGTTTGGGTGTGAGGTCTAGTCTCTGCAGGAGGGGACAGATGCTGGGCAAAGCAATGTACCAGTCTGCTGCCCCAACCAAGCATGATTGTGTCACCTCCACTCTGAGGCTTGGGCCTCTTTCTAGCCACTCTTCTGTACTGTACATGACGGTTGGGACAGCTGCAAAACCACAAGTGATTTTCCTTTACTAGCTTCTGCATTCAGGGGTGTGTGTTCCCAGGCAAGATTTGATTGGATTGGACTGGTTTTATCTGACTGAGGTTTGGAGGAACTGGGAGGAAAGCTAATCAAGAGGGAATGGTGTTCTGACTCTATGCTCCAAGGACAGACAACCATGGTCAGTTTTGCTCATCGTTAGAGCTGCAATGCTATACATGGAGCCTGACATATAGCAGGGATATGGTAAATATTTATTGAGTAAACAGAGAATGGATAAAAGTAGAATTGGGAGAAAAGCCCTTCGGCATTAAATAGTAGGCACATTCATTTGAGCTTGTGTTTGTTTAACAAATGCTAATAACACTTGCTATGTGCTAAGAG